AAGGCATTAAAAATCAGATGTAATCGTGATCATTGTTTGATTCAAAACTGTGATTTTTAGTGCTTTTGTTTTGATGTGATTTTACCATTATTTACTTACTCATGATTTTACAAATTTTCCAATAACTCTATACTTTTGTTGAGAGCAAGAATAAATTAAATTGTTATTTATATATAAACGTTGTGATGCACGATCAAGTATTACCAACTTTAATCAACAAAATGATCATCTATGATTATTGCCTTGGTGCCCTCTGGGCAATTTTTGCCTGCCCTCCTGAACACCTAATTCAAGACCTGTACTTATGATATATAAGGAAAAAATCGGGACCTGGGCACCATGTCGCTAAACAGAGGATGTCGTTATATTAAAGGTCGTTATAGAGAGGCTGCACTGTAATAATAATAATTATAATAGATTGCATTTATATAGTGTATATCCTTAGACAAGATAAGACCATATGACTTGGCAATTATTTTGAAATGAAATAAAAGTAAAATATAGTCTAGCACACACATGGTGAACAGAAACACACACATTTCAAACAGATTTTCGGTTCCCCAATTATTTTCTTATACATGTATATTTTTTGCATTCAAAACAAGTACATAGTAAAAATTTGTACAAAATAGAAAGATTTCGGTGTCCTGTCAATTTGGTTATGCAGGTGCTAGACTGTACTAGGACATTACAGAAGATAACACAACACCACGAGGTTGTTTTTGTCTTTTTTTAGTAAGATTTTTATGGCACTTGCAACACAATAAGCCATAACTATAAGAGCTGAAGATTAGAGCTGTTAAAAAGAGGAGAGATCAGGACAATAGCTGTTTGATAGAAAAGAAGGAGCAAATTACACCAAAGCACCCGCCAACCACCCACATCACGAGGTTCCTGTTAAAATACAAAGTAAAAAACTACTACAAATCATACTAAATCGCCAACGCACCATTGTAGCTATAATCCTAACCCAGCCACGAAAGCTGCATTTCCTCCTACACATTAAAATTCTTTCATGCTTTTCTCCTAAAGTCATTCCACTAGCTCGATGATCCTCTTTTTTGCTCAGTCTGCGTACATGGCTGAACTCATCTTACATTAAATGCTGGCTCAAACAAATCCAACTCTGATGGAATATATTTGCATTAACTGGCCGTAGACTATATGACAAAGTGTAGGTTCTTAGTGAAAGTTTAGGCAAAGTATCAAACAAAAACTAGGGAAAGGTGGAAAGCGTTTGTTCGTGGCCTATATCTTGATCCAGCGTGAGAAAAGCAATGATAATGATCAAACAAAAACTCGAAAAAGAAAAGACATGATTCTGAATCTAAAATGCTGAAAAAAAACCCAATCCATGCGGAAGGTGGCTGAACTGGTGTGACTATACACTAGTCGCTCAGTGACAGTATTTACTGCAAGCAAAGTTTCTGCAGTTAAAAGAAACCTCCACAAAAAAACCTCAACCCAACTTGAGTAAAATTCATATGCTAATCAAAGTCTTGTTTTAGTCTCATAAAGAATTGGACATAAGAAATTCCAAATGCTGGGTCGCAAATCCTCACTTCTTGAAATTAAATGAATGCAACATGGAGAAAAAAGACTTACAAGCAAAGACACTACACCCTTCGGTAAGATGCTGCAGCTGCCTCTTTCCCTTTGTAAAAAAAACGTAGCATGCGTAAAATAGGCCACGCCCCCAGCGAGCGTGTGACTGAGCCCCGATGGCTTGGCCCTGGGCTTGTTGGATAGAGTAGAATATGAGAGCGTCCTTGTTGTTAATCCTACTCTAGGGCCCATTCTAATCTAGATCTAGATCTAAATAATTATATAGATCTATCTACCAAAATAAAGTATCGATCAACGTATTTCAATCATTTGTCTAGGTATAAATTATTTTAAAAGGGAAAACATTAGATTAAAAAATAGCCTCACTTTGGTAACGAGTGATAAGATCAGAGGATAAATCTAGTGTACCGGGTGCATAGTACATAGGCTCACGATCTACTAAATCTAGATCTAGATCTAGGCCTAGACATTGACAATCACGAAATCTAGGCCTAGAATATATCCAATGCAATATTATTGATCGTATTGATGACAGGATCTTTAGGAGTATGCATTATTAGAAATCAAAAGATAGTGTCAATTAGTATTTGATATACCAGGGAACGCTGCAATAGCAGAAT